ATAACTCATTCGTATATATGTTTAGTAAATGTGAACATATATATGTAATTGAGAAAATTAACTGAATGTGATATACGTAAGAAGTATGGATAAGTTGTATCAAATGGTTGATGATGAAAAGAAATTATGAGTAGAAAAATAACATATTTAAGGTTAGAAGAATATTTTAATGTACCAATGTATCAACCCGACCAACCCGTACGGGTTGGGTTGGGTTGCAGTTTGGGTTGGGTTAAAAATTTTCAAACCGCAAGCATTGAGTTGGGTTGTTCAAATGTCTTCAACCCAACCCATTAGCACCCTTACACGAGACCCTACTCGCTCCTTAGGCATTTTATCCATCTCCTCGACCAATTTCACTTTTTAGGCATTTTATCAATCAAATTCTCATTTTAGTCAGACTTTACGTAAATGTCTTACGCATTTGTATGAACTCGATTCTCGGTTTATTATTTTTATGTAATTTGCGTAAATAAAAATTTCGTTTTTTAATCTAAAAATAGGTTTTCACGGAAATGCGTAATTTTTTTTTTGCTTGAACTCTGACTAAAATGGAAATTCGGTTTCCAAAGTGGCTAAAAAGTGAATTTGACTAGGGAGATTGGCTATTTTGGTCAATTTTTCTTTATTTTTATGACTTAGCTGAGATGGTGTGTTTAATGTTACAAAGTACAAACCATTATCCAAACCAAGTATACTTGGGGCTGTTTGGTTGGGTTTTTTTTTTATTAAATCTTATATGGATAAATGTGTCTGTATAAATTGAGAAGATTTTTTTATGAAAGGAGTTTTTCATAGATGAAAGAAGCGTGTTTTTGAACTGGAAAAGATATTGGAAAAAAGTTTGGTTTTATGTATAAAGCTCTGCCTAGAAGCTTATTAAATAAGTCACTTTCAATATCATAAAAGTTTTGTTTAGCAAACTAGCTGATGAACTAAATGCGTTTGACAAAAACTAATTGATAAGTTTGTTGAAAAATGTAAAATGATAAAAAAGAATATGTTTAAAAATTAATAAAATTTAGCATTTCATAATATATTTAAAACAATTCTCTAATAATATAAAATGTTAATTAAAACCAATCATATCTTAAAAAAAATGGAATATGTTAACTAATATATTTCAATTTGATTTATTATTTTATTTTGTATGTATGTAGCTGAATCCTGATGAGAAGTTAGGATGAGAAGTGTAAAAAGAACTCTGAATCCTCGATTACTTTTAATCTCATGCACACCTATAAAATTGTGTTATAGAAAAGAATTGATCAGGTGCATCTCAATACACCTCATCAGTGTTAACATTCAATTATTATTGATTCAAGGGTAAAAATCTATTCTTATATTTCTCACTGTAACTCAACCATATCTATGTATATATATATATACACTAGAAGCGTAMTCGCGCAATGCAGCGAGATACATCATGATTTTAATATTTCATTTTATTTTTTATCTCAGTCGATGTTATAATATGGCTTTATGTGATTTTGAGAAAGCGATGATGTTTTTATTTTCGAATAAGATATATGTTTGAAGATATCATAAAATTTTGACAAAAATATATCGATATTAGTATCAAATTAACTATTTGAAATTCCTTATTTTTTTGTGTAATTTTTTAATTCAATTTTTTTATAAAGATAAAAACTCTTAAAACAATTTTTTATGCATGAACTATTGTTTATTGATGCATATTACTTAAAATTTAATATTACAAGTAAATT